TTTTTTTTTTTTTTTTTTTTTTTTTTTTTTTTTTTTTTTTTTTTTTTTTTTTTTTTTTTTTTTTTTTTTTTTTTTTTTTTTTTTTTTTTTTTTTTTTTTTTTTTTTTTTTTTTTTTTTTTTTTTTTTTTTTTTTTTTTTTTTTTTTTTTTTTTTTTTTTTTTTTTTTTTTTTTTTTTTTTTTTTTTTTTTTTTTTTTTTTTTTTTTTTTTTTTTTTTTTTTTTTTTTTTTTTTTTTTTTTTTTTTTTTTTTTTTTTTTTTTTTTTTTTTTTTTTTTTTTTTTTTTTTTTTTTTTTTTTTTTTTTTTTTTTTTTTTTTTTTTTTTTTTTTTTTTTTTTTTTTTTTTTTTTTTTTTTTTTTTTTTTTTTTTTTTTTTTTTTTTTTTTTTTTTTTTTTTTTTTTTTTTTTTTTTTTTTTTTTTTTTTTTTTTTTTTTTTTTTTTTTTTTTTTTTTTTTTTTTTTTTTTTTTTTTTTTTTTTTTTTTTTTTTTTTTTTTTTTTTTTTTTTTTTTTTTTTTTTTTTTTTTTTTTTTTTTTTTTTTTTTTTTTTTTTTTTTTTTTTTTTTTTTTTTTTTTTTTTTTTTTTTTTTTTTTTTTTTTTTTTTTTTTTTTTTTTTTTTTTTTTTTTTTTTTTTTTTTTTTTTTTTTTTTTTTTTTTTTTTTTTTTTTTTTTTTTTTTTTTTTTTTTTTTTTTTTTTTTTTTTTTTTTTTTTTTTTTTTTTTTTTTTTTTTTTTTTTTTTTTTTTTTTTTTTTTTTTTTTTTTTTTTTTTTTTTTTTTTTTTTTTTTTTTTTTTTTTTTTTTTTTTTTTTTTTTTTTTTTTTTTTTTTTTTTTTTTTTTTTTTTTTTTTTTTTTTTTTTTTTTTTTTTTTTTTTTTTTTTTTTTTTTTTTTTTTTTTTTTTTTTTTTTTTTTTTTTTTTTTTTTTTTTTTTTTTTTTTTTTTTTTTTTTTTTTTTTTTTTTTTTTTTTTTTTTTTTTTTTTTTTTTTTTTTTTTTTTTTTTTTTTTTTTTTTTTTTTTTTTTTTTTTTTTTTTTTTTTTTTTTTTTTTTTTTTTTTTTTTTTTTTTTTTTTTTTTTTTTTTTTTTTTTTTTTTTTTTTTTTTTTTTTTTTTTTTTTTTTTTTTTTTTTTTTTTTTTTTTTTTTTTTTTTTTTTTTTTTTTTTTTTTTTTTTTTTTTTTTTTTTTTTTTTTTTTTTTTTTTTTTTTTTTTTTTTTTTTTTTTTTTTTTTTTTTTTTTTTTTTTTTTTTTTTTTTTTTTTTTTTTTTTTTTTTTTTTTTTTTTTTTTTTTTTTTTTTTTTTTTTTTTTTTTTTTTTTTTTTTTTTTTTTTTTTTTTTTTTTTTTTTTTTTTTTTTTTTTTTTTTTTTTTTTTTTTTTTTTTTTTTTTTTTTTTTTTTTTTTTTTTTTTTTTTTTTTTTTTTTTTTTTTTTTTTTTTTTTTTTTTTTTTTTTTTTTTTTTTTTTTTTTTTTTTTTTTTTTTTTTTTTTTTTTTTTTTTTTTTTTTTTTTTTTTTTTTTTTTTTTTTTTTTTTTTTTTTTTTTTTTTTTTTTTTTTTTTTTTTTTTTTTTTTTTTTTTTTTTTTTTTTTTTTTTTTTTTTTTTTTTTTTTTTTTTTTTTTTTTTTTTTTTTTTTTTTTTTTTTTTTTTTTTTTTTTTTTTTTTTTTTTTTTTTTTTTTTTTTTTTTTTTTTTTTTTTTTTTTTTTTTTTTTTTTTTTTTTTTTTTTTTTTTTTTTTTTTTTTTTTTTTTTTTTTTTTTTTTTTTTTTTTTTTTTTTTTTTTTTTTTTTTTTTTTTTTTTTTTTTTTTTTTTTTTTTTTTTTTTTTTTTTTTTTTTTTTTTTTTTTTTTTTTTTTTTTTTTTTTTTTTTTTTTTTTTTTTTTTTTTTTTTTTTTTTTTTTTTTTTTTTTTTTTTTTTTTTTTTTTTTTTTTTTTTTTTTTTTTTTTTTTTTTTTTTTTTTTTTTTTTTTTTTTTTTTTTTTTTTTTTTTTTTTTTTTTTTTTTTTTTTTTTTTTTTTTTTTTTTTTTTTTTTTTTTTTTTTTTTTTTTTTTTTTTTTTTTTTTTTTTTTTTTTTTTTTTTTTTTTTTTTTTTTTTTTTTTTTTTTTTTTTTTTTTTTTTTTTTTTTTTTTTTTTTTTTTTTTTTTTTTTTTTTTTTTTTTTTTTTTTTTTTTTTTTTTTTTTTTTTTTTTTTTTTTTTTTTTTTTTTTTTTTTTTTTTTTTTTTTTTTTTTTTTTTTTTTTTTTTTTTTTTTTTTTTTTTTTTTTTTTTTTTTTTTTTTTTTTTTTTTTTTTTTTTTTTTTTTTTTTTTTTTTTTTTTTTTTTTTTTTTTTTTTTTTTTTTTTTTTTTTTTTTTTTTTTTTTTTTTTTTTTTTTTTTTTTTTTTTTTTTTTTTTTTTTTTTTTTTTTTTTTTTTTTTTTTTTTTTTTTTTTTTTTTTTTTTTTTTTTTTTTTTTTTTTTTTTTTTTTTTTTTTTTTTTTTTTTTTTTTTTTTTTTTTTTTTTTTTTTTTTTTTTTTTTTTTTTTTTTTTTTTTTTTTTTTTTTTTTTTTTTTTTTTTTTTTTTTTTTTTTTTTTTTTTTTTTTTTTTTTTTTTTTTTTTTTTTTTTTTTTTTTTTTTTTTTTTTTTTTTTTTTTTTTTTTTTTTTTTTTTTTTTTTTTTTTTTTTTTTTTTTTTTTTTTTTTTTTTTTTTTTTTTTTTTTTTTTTTTTTTTTTTTTTTTTTTTTTTTTTTTTTTTTTTTTTTTTTTTTTTTTTTTTTTTTTTTTTTTTTTTTTTTTTTTTTTTTTTTTTTTTTTTTTTTTTTTTTTTTTTTTTTTTTTTTTTTTTTTTTTTTTTTTTTTTTTTTNTACCAAGGTCACGATGAGACTGGACATAGTTTATTTTAGAAGAATCAATAAATATGGAAGGGTGGTTGGGATTGCGAAGTAGAGAAAAACACATAATGACAGTTTTATGAATGTTGATTTTTAGATTATAACTGGCAAGATTAGAACGTAAAGAATTGACAGTGATCTGAAGGGAGGAAGGATCATTGGATAAAATTTTGATGTCATCGGCGTAGGCAATTACTTTAGAGTGGTGGTTGGTTAGTAATTTATCTATATAAGCTGAGAAAAAAAGCATGCTTAGTACAGATCCTTGAGGTATGCCACAGATAGGAGAAAAAGGGAAGAAATCAAAGTCACCAATGTGAATCTTACATAGTCTGGATAAATAGTAATTATTTAACCAACAGTAAAGAGCGGGATCTAAATCAAAATAATTACTTAGAGTCTGAAGTAGTAATTTAGGAATGATAGAATCAAAGGCTTGGGAGATGTCAATATAAATTATATAGGTGGATTTTTTGTTCTCAAAATTTTGCAAAATAGTATAAGTTGTTTCAAGTAGGTTAGTAGTAGTCGAAAGGTTACGGATGCCACAGTGTTGATGACGGTTAATTTTTGTTAATGTCACAGTGTTAATTTTTGAATTACTAAATTATTAAAAAAAAAAATAGTAGTTCCAGAAAGAAAGCATAATGTAATATAAACATAATAAAAGCATGCAGCAAAACAATTTTGAGAATTTTATGGGAAAGGAAGTGTGCAGCAAAATAATGTTATGATTTGTAAATTTTCATTAAGTGTTTCGACAAACAATGAACTATGAACATAATCAAAGTATTTATTTATTGAATAAAAAATATGGTGAATACAAATTTCACTCTGATTTGTAATTCAGACTGTAGCTTTAGATGATGATTACAGAGTAGTATTTTCAAACCTTTCTCCTTATGAGTATTACAGTTTAATAAATGATTACTTCCATTAGTTTTTAGTGGCAAATGTTTGCACTTAAGATACATTTGAACTTCCAATAATGTTCACCTGTAAATAGCAGTCATTTTTTCAAGAACATTTTTTAAACAAAAATGCATGCAAAATGATGTCTAAACAATGATCTTTTTCATGTTCTCATCAGTAGCATTGTTTAGAGATTGGATTGTAATTTGATAAATGCTATTATGTACTTTCAGTGTTTATCAAATTATTTTAAGAAGTGCAAACCATAAGTTTGACACTACTATTATAGTCATGTATAGAAGTTTGTTTTTGGACATTTTTTATTTTAATAGTTTTATAAATACAGTAAACCCCCCTATAACACAGTAGATACATTCCGTGCTCTATGAATTCCGTGTTGTATGAGTCACTTAAATACATGGTCCAATCATAGCCTGGCACGTGTGCAATTTACGGACTACGGCATATAATACAAAAGATTTTCTGCCATAAAATCAATCGATTCTTGACTAATTTCACTCAACATTTCCAAAACATGTATAATTTTTGGGAATAATCCATATAAACTATGCTATAAACAAAAAATTGTAGGATTACTTACCAAGTGTGCATCGTTTGACAATGCCATTGCTTAAACTTGTTTTTGTCGCGGAGCAGCTCATCAAACAGAGGGCGCATGTTTCTTGGTANACTTTTTTTTTTTTTTTTTTTTTTTTTTTTAACTCTCCACCCTGTGGGCACTAAAAATGCCTCTTTTTAGCAGGCCCATTATGGGTTCGGTTCAGGTCCACAATGGGGCGGCCGGGTGGTGGGGGATGGAGCCCGAAATAACCGGACGGCCCACCCCCGAAAAATTCCTGGTGAGTAAAAACTTTAGACAAAGAGGTAACGGTAAAATAACCTGTTGGTTATTTTACCGTTACCTCTTTGCCTAAAGTTTTGGTTACGCAGACCTTCATTGTTTTGACTAAGTAACTTTTACCTGTATCATCTACTCCAAACTGGTAAAACATGAAGATTCGTGAAGATTCATTGATTTCCACTGCCGCACATTCCCACATTATTTTATTTTTTTGCGACAGAAAAAGTATCGTGACTATTTTAAGCTTAATATATTATAGAGAAATTAGATACATATTTTATTCAACTTTATTATTATTATTATTATTATTATTAAATTTTTAAATAAAACTTTATGGTACAATTTTTAAATTATGTTCGGCTATAATTGGGCGATATTTTATCAAGAGAATAACTAAGCGCAGGAACGAGATTATTTCTTTTAATCTTTTTGTGTAAATCCGGCATTTTTCATCGAACACGTTGTCGTTGCAATGGGTAAATTATTATTTTAATATAATCCGAATTTTTACTTATTTCGTTTTATCAATTGATTATTTAGTTGATATTAAACATTCATTTTATCATACTAGTTATTTAATTATAATTTATCGTGATTTACGTTTAGAGTTAAGATTCGCATAATGAAATTAGGCTTGTGTTTAAGCCTAAATAGAAATTCTAAGTTATACAAGAGTTGAAATTTGTTTTTCAAACATTGTTAGAAGTATTTAAAGAACTGTAATTATGCAATAAACTATCTTGTGCAGATAATGAAACAGAAAAACTAACTATCTTGTGCTACATAGTTTTTCTGTTTCATTATCTGTACACTTATATTCAGTTAGTGTGGTCGCATGTGTTAACGGGTTACACTGCCTGTCGCAACATTTGCGAAAATTATATTCATCTGGCGATTGGAGTGACGAATAGCCATCAAGCAGTCCCCAAAAAGAAAAAGGTTACTCAGTGAAACAGTGACTTTTTTTTTTTTCCTTTTTGGATTATGTTAATTTTACTGATAATTAACCAAAATAAAGTTGCTTGAGAAACTCTATCATAAAAACTGCTTTTTTTTATATTGTCAGTTGTCCTCTCATTTCTAGTCGACACAAAAAGTCATGGTAACCAAAAAAGTAACCAGTAAAAGTCCATTTTTACTACATGGGGCGTTTTTTTCTAATTTTTCTTTTTTAAGACACCTCTCTAGTAAACATTCTAAACACACAGAAATTTTTGGGAATGATGCATATAATAAGAGCTATAAGTGAAAACTCATCGGATTACTTGCCGACTCTGCACAGTGGAAGCCACCATTGCTTAACCTTGTTCACATCTCAGAGTAGCACGTTGGATGGTGGACACTTACAATTCGTGTCATGTGACCCAATTTTGACGTCACTCAATCACATACTAGTTATTGATACTAGTGTGTTCAAGAATTACACTGAATCAATAACTAGTGACATTAAACAATTGGCAGCCTGCTGGCGGCTCCACTCCAGGAGGAGTCTGTTGGGAGCACAAATAGTTGTAACCAACGCCATGATGGTGCACATAAACATAAATTGGTAAAATTTTACCTATTATTGTTATTAATTCATTTAATATGACTAGTAACATAATAATAAGTCATTTCTAATTACAAAATACATACTGTAGTATATTGTGATATATTATGTGACCGGATAGCAGTGAGAAATACATGTCACATGACACTTTTTGTACACGTTGCCCCCAAAAATTTCTGTATTTAGGAAGAGAGATCTATTAGAGAGGTGTCTTAAGAGAGTAAAATTAGAAAAAAACACCTCATGTAGTAAGGATGGACTTTTACTTAATTTAAGATTTTAGGTTTATCTTCATTTTGCTGATGTAGGCCTATGAGTCAAGTTCAAATCATTCATTAAAATGTGGTCACTGGAATCCACTGAAATCCTGATTTCTTTGGCAATCTTCTACAGTCAATTATCAATCATTTCTTGATTTTATAATGTGGCCAACCATCTAGAATATGGATTGTTTTCAACATGTATTATGTGATGGGATGTGTTTTAAGTAATGGAACCATTCAAACATTTACAAACAGCCATGGTATCATTTCTGTAGACTATTTTCAATAATTCAAATGTTTCTTTAGTAGTGTTACTGATTTTAATGTAGAACTACATGCATATATGTTGCTCTGTACTATAGCATCTCAAAATCTCCACACGAGATCAACTTTGATTTCCATTGGCAAGTTGAATGCTCATACAAGTCCTAAGTTGTCAAAAGCATTGTTGAGATTTAAAAACATTTCTAGTGTGAATGAACTGGCTGGTATGCTATTGCCTTTATGCTACAGGACCAGTCCAGATATTTTTTGAACAAACCACTCATGGTAGTATTCAGTTTACATCAAACATGTTTGGGAATTCACTAGAATTGTAGAAAATGGATATGACCAAAGTTAATTTTATTTGACTAGTATTTTGATTCTAAATATAGAACATAACTAAAGTGTTATAACAGACTTCTCAAAAATGCTGGAGTGATAAATAAACAATCACAAACAAAACCTTTTTTAACCAGTAATTAAACTTTAAAGTAACTTCCAAACATTTTCGGCTTCACTAAGGCCTGCTTCAGGCAATGAACTAAGCTGACTTCCAAACTGGAATGTTATAACGATGATGTTTGACTTTAAACTTTGTATATATCAAATTCATGCGGATGATTGACTTTGTTTGAATTTCTTGAACAGCTATTTCCGCTTATGCGCCACTGTCTCGCAGTCTTTAAAGTTACAGTTGGAATTGGTATAAAAGCTTTTTCTGTTGGTTCAGGCAATTGGCATTGTGATAGATGATTAGAATCCAAAATCAAAACTGGGGCAGATAACTTATAAAATCAAAACTATTCACACTTTTCAAGCAAATGGGTTTAATAAAATAATATACAAAGGTTTTGATTTTATAAAAGGTCATTACTTCATTGTATTTGCAAACATTATTGCCTTGTAACTGCAAGACTATTTGAAGGCAGTAATTATGGTCCAAATAATTGGGTGATTATTTGGACCAAATTAGTGATGAATTCTGCATGGCAGGTTTATTGTCTGATTAGAGGCTGGCTAAACTCAGACAAGAGTTACAGGAACTGAATGTTTCATTGTGTTATCTCTAGGTTTTGAAATGGTTCCAATGTGGCCAAGATGTTCAAAGGCAATACAATGAATGTTTTCCCACATTTATTTCATCTCTTAAATGATATGCTGTATTGTGGGATTCTGTGGAATATTATACAGAAAAAAAAACAATACCAAAATTCAGCAAAAGCAGGTAAAAAAACTGTTATAGCAAATGCCGGTTTTTGGTATTGTACGAGGGCAAGGTGAAAAGTTCTCGGCCTAGTAGTGAAAAAATGAGTTTTTTATTTTAAAAGTGCATTTATTTCTCAATGTAGTCTCCCTTTAGTTCAATACACTTTGTCCAATGTTTCTCCAATAACAGTATTCCATCCCTGAAATGCGATTCTGGAAGGTCTTCAAAATATCCATTTACCGCTGCTATCACCTCTTCACTTGATCCAAAATGTTCTCCCGCCAAAAATTTTTTAAGATTTGGGAATAAATGAAAGTCAGAGGGAGCCAAATCTGGCAAATAGGGAGGATGTTCCAATAATTCATACTTCAAATCCCTCAATTTTCCCATTGCCAAAGCACCTTTGTGAGCGGGTGCATTGTCCTGGTGAAAGAGGATTTTTTTTCTTTTGCAAACCAGGCCTTTTCTCTCTAATTTTTTCATCTAGCTGGTCAAGATGTGCATAGTATTCCCCATTAATTGTTTGACCCTTTGACAGGTAGTCAGTTAAAAGAATTCCTTTGGAATCCCAAAAAACACTAGCCATAACCTTTCCAGCTGATGCAATTGTCTTTGCTTTCTTCAGTGCAGAGCCACGAACTTCTACCCACTGCTTGGACTGTTGTTTTGACTCAGGGGTAAAGTGGTGAACCCATGTTTCATCCATTGTAACAAATCTGTGCAGAAAATCAGTTGGATTTTTCTTAAAATGGCGCAAGCATTGATGAGAAAGTCAATTTCTCATTTGTTTATGATCAGCATTTAACAAATGCGGCACCCATCTTGCGCAAAGCTTTCTCATACTGAGTTCTTCGTGTAAAATGTGCCTTACCCTTTCTTCTGAGATGCCTACAGCCTTAGCTATCTCATACACCTTTAATCGTCGATCATCTAGAACCATATTGTGTATCTTCTCGATATTTTCTTTGGTAGTTGCAGGTTTTGGGCGTCCTTCACGTGGATCATCTTCAATCGATGTACGACCACGTTTAAACTCCGCTGCCCATTTTTTTACTGTTGATAACGAAGATGCAGACTCCTTATACACTTTTACCAACTGGAAAAATTTCTGTTGGCGATAAACCATCCAAAACGAAGAATTTTATGATGGAACTATATTCAAGTTTATTCATTTTGTCAAAAAAACACACAATGCTTACTTTAAACAGCCGTATAAAAAAAACTATTTGTCTGATCAAATTCACACTTGGTATTTACTTTTGTAACAAGTTTGGAAACATAATCAGACGATACTTTCATTTGTAGTAGCGCCATCTATGGGTTAGGCCGAGAACTTTCACCTTGCCCTCGTATATGTTTTTTCATTATATGCTTTAGTTTTCTTAATTGCTTCATATTAAACAGATTTTTCCTCCTTTGACTATGCTTCTATATGTTGCTGTCATAACCATTTTGTATTTTAGACAAAATGTGAATATAGTGTTCTGAAATTCTGGTTATTAATTTACAGGATAGATTTCTTAAGAAAACTAAGATAAAAATGTTGATAATTTTTAAAATAAGGTCTTTATTAAGGATTTAGACATTTAAAGTTCAGTGACGTCACTTCTGGAATTTGATGCATGTGAAAAGATTACATAGTCTTAAACTTACAAAGGCTGTATTTAAAGTTGTGTTGAATCAGTGTATCAAACTAGAATTAGATTTTTGTTAAAAAAGAAAATGAATGTAAGAAATATAGGATTCATCTATAAAACTTCCTTACTATAAATCTATAAAAAATTTTTAAGTTTAAAAATTATTTTATAATAATAATAATTTTAAATTGCTTTGAAAAGTATTAAATATATTTTTCTTGCTAAAAGATATTTATACTGTATTTAGTTACAAAATCTAATTATGGAATTTGAATCTTATTTTGGCAGACTTTTTGGTTATATCAAAATTTTATTTATATCTAATCATTATTAAAGTTTCTAGTGGATGTGGCATGCATACATATTATGTTATAATATATAAATGTATACTTTCATGTCTTGTTTTTATTATAATTTTAAAATTTCACAGAGTTCAGTTATTTCTAATGTAATATAATTTTTTTTACTTTAGAATAATTATCATTATAAACATTTTAAAATTCCTTTAAATATAGGTAAGCCAAGAGGTTTGAGAACAGCTCGTAAACATCGTGATCATCGACGTGAACAAAGGTGGCATGATAAAGATTTTAAGAAAGCTCACTTGGGTACTCGATGGAAGGCTAATCCTTTTGGTGGAGCTTCACATGCAAAGGGAATAGTTTTAGAAAAAGTGTAAGTGTATGCATTTTAATTGAGCTATTTATTATATTTTTATTTCAATAGGTTAAATCAGCAGTTTCCAACCTTTTTTGACCTGTGTACCCCTTGACAACCCATTTTTGCTAAGTTTTATTTTGCATATTTGTTAGACATTGGTGTCTTGGTCAGTTATACAGCACTGTACAATTACATGTAAAATATTTTCTTAAAATTGAAAGGCATTGCAGGAAGGACACAGATTATATTCTTTTTTAAAATTAAGCATCAAGTATCGTGACATCACCAAAGGCCTCAATGCAAAATCCCAAGTATTTTTATAGTACATCCACCTTTATTAATTTTTTCACATAACCCTAAAACACCAAGTATGTACCCCTGGTTGGGAATTGAGTAGATATAAATCCTTTTTATTCAGTTAATGTTATAGAAACCAAATGTCAATTCATTTTATACATTTTTGAAATATGACTTAGATCTTAAAAGCAATAACTTATTAATAATAATCAAAAGTTGTAATTTCATATCTATTTGTTAGAATTATCTGAATTAACATTATTTGTTTTATCTAAAAGCTACTACACTTATTAACTTTTTCTAATTAAATATTAATTTCAAAAAAGTAAAATAAAGATAAGCATTGCATTTTTTGATTCAGTTGTGTCAAAATTTTTTGAAATTAATCCTATTTTGAATTATAACTTTTCTGTGATGTCAAATGTAAATTTAGTTGGTTACAGCAAGAGATTGAACTTTAAAATTTTCATTTGTATATTTGTATTATACTGCTTATTTATCTCTGTGATGATCATTTACAATCCAACGCATAGTATTAATGCTGACAAAAGTATGATCTGAGAGAATATAACAAAATAATTTGAAAATTTAATTCTTTACTTGGTAATATACAAGGTATTATATATTTCTAAATTTTGTTATGTATGCAATTCACATTCATATAATTGATTACAGAAATAAGATTTAGCTAAACCATGTTTTAAGCCTTTCTTTTCAATCAACAGACTATAGTTTTTAAACAATCAAATGACAAAGAATGGTGTAATTTATAAATTTTGTTTTAATACTATGTATTGTTTTTTAATCTAGTGGTGTTGAAGCAAAACAGCCAAATTCTGCTATTCGAAAGTGTGTTAGAGTGCAGTTGATAAAAAACGGTAAAAAGATCACAGCATTTGTACCTCGTGATGGATGCTTAAATTTTATTGAAGTGAGTATGTTTTTAAATTTTATAAATGTTAGTTCAATTTTACAGATGGTTTTAAAAATTAAAAATTTAGTATATTTTGGGAATCATATTTAAATTTGTCTTCTTTTTATTTTTAACAAATTTATAGACTTTTGCTTTTAATCACTGCTGATTCACAGAAATAAGATTGTCTTATTAGATTGTCTTGAAGTTCAACAGCATTACTTTGTGTAACATGCTACAGATTAATTTTTGAATTACTAAATTATTAAAAAAAAATAGTAGTTCCAGAAAGAAAGCATAATGTAATATAAACATAATAAAAGCATGCAGCAAAACAATTTTGAGAATTTTATGGGAAAGGAAGTGTGCAGCAAAATAATGTTATGATTTGTAAATTTTCATTAAGTGTTTCGACAAACAATGAACTATGAACATAATCAAAGTATTTATTTATTGAATAAAAAATATGGTGAATACAAATTTCACTCTGATTTGTAATTCAGACTGTAGCTTTAGATGATGATTACAGAGTAGTATTTTCAAACCTTTCTCCTTATGAGTATTACAGTTTAATAAATGATTACTTCCATTAGTTTTTAGTGGCAAATGTTTGCACTTAAGATACATTTGAACTTCCAATAATGTTCACCTGTAAATAGCAGTCATTTTTTCAAGAACATTTTTTAAACAAAAATGCATGCAAAATGATGTCTAAACAATGGTCTTTTTCATGTTCTCATCAGTAGCATTGTTTAGAGATTGGATTGTAATTTGATAAATGCTATTATGTACTTTCAGTGTTTATCAAATTATTTTAAGAAGTGCAAACCATAAGTTTGACACTACTATTATAGTCATGTATAGAAGTTTGTTTTTGGACATTTTTTATTTTAATAGTTTTATAAATACAGTAAACCCCCCTATAACACAGTAGATACATTCCGTGCTCTATGAATTCCGTGTTGTATGAGTCACTTAAATACATGGTCCAATCATAGCCTGGCACATGTGCAATTTACGAACTACGGCATATAATACAAAAGATTTTCTGCCATAAAATCAATCGATTCTTGACTAATTTCACTCAACATTTCCAAAACATGTATAATTTTTGGGAATAATCCATATAAACTATGCTATAAACAAAAAATTGTAGGATTACTTACCAAGTGTGCATCGTTTGACAATGCCATTGCTTAAACTTGTTTTTGTCGCGGAGCAGCTCATCAAACAGAGGGCGCATGTTTCTTGGTAAGTTATTTTTCTGTGAAAAATTTGCTGAACTTTGGAGACATCATTAATATAAATATAATTTTTTGGCCATCAAATAATAAATGGTTTTTAGTAGGTCTAGTGCTCGTTTAAACTCAACGGTTTGTGCAATATCCGCTATTGGTATAGATTCAACCAATCCTGTCACAACACGAGTTGGCGATGACGTTTTACCGTGTTATACGAACAGGATTGCAATTTTTTGCCGTGTTATAGGGGGATCTACTGTATAAATACATACATAATTTGAAATTATAATTTATTTTTTCTGTTTTTAAAATCTAGAAAATTATATAAATTAAAAATAAAGCATTTTGTTATGAAATGAATACATTAAGATAATTATTGCAGGAAAACGATGAAGTTTTAGTAGCAGGATTTGGAAGAAAAGGTCATGCAGTAGGTGATATTCCAGGTGTACGTTTTAAAGTTGTAAAGGTTGCTAATGTGTCACTCTTAGCTTTGTACAAAGAAAAGAAAGAACGGCCACGTTCTTAAAATTGATGTAATCTTGAATGACTAATAAAACACAATGAAAAGTTGAATACATTGTTATCATTAACAGCTTTGAATATTCCAATTATTTGTTTTAACTACATGAGGAAAGTCTGAGACTAGATTTCCAACCCTGCTTAACAATACAAAAAATGAACTAAAAAGATACCGCATAAAAAAACAATAAAACTATCACAAAAATGAACATAGGCAGAAAAAATACTTGAATGATTCTTTACAATAAAAGGTAACTGGAATTATTCTTAAAAGCTATTTTTTTGGCCTAAGGTCTTAAACTTTCTAAGAAATCAACTTGAGTTTCTCCAAGTTGTAGTTTCTTCATAGTCTGTGGAAAGAATCAATTTGGGTATTGACCACTTAGTTGTAAGTTACTTCCGCTTTCTTTCTCATTAAACATTTCCTCACGGAAGTTTTAGGTCTAGTATCGGAATACGAAGAAGTTTGCTACATTAGTAGTAAAATGTGTGATTCGTTATTTTGAATGACCAAAATAGAAACCCGGAAAAGTCGTTCTGCCATCTAAGAAAATAAAGTAAAATTCAAATATTGCCTGACATTAAGCGAAAAGTGCGTGACGTTGCTTTCAAGTCGATTCTCCTTTCCATAGACTAGAAAAAAAAAACTAAAATTATGAAACAATCTTAATATTTAAACGTTACCAATAATGACTAGTTTATTTTAAGAAATAGCAACGCGTTATTTTATCGATTAAGGATGTTTAAATTTATTTTAGGACTCCGTGCAATTCCGATATGAATTAAGATATATCGGCATGTCTGTTAAGCCATTCGGATTCGTTCGAACGTAATCAATAAAGAAACGAAAAAAAATTCAGAAAATGTGTTTATTGCATTAAGAATTGTACAGTCGTCAGCGGTCGACGGACGGACGCTGCGAATAAAGAAAAACAAAACCAAACTGAAAGTACGTAGAGGAAAACGACCGCCTAGTATGAAATTAGAAACACTCGCCGATCGTCCGGCTTGGCCGGGCGAACTCCTGTCGGAGATGCGGTAGGCCGCGAAGGCGCCGGTCCGTCCGATCCTCCGAAGTCGAATCTTGCGTCGAAGGGCTGAAATATGCAAGTGTTAGCACTTTAGAGAAACCCACAAAGCCTCGTTTCCCGATGACGGCGCCCGAGAACCGCGTCAAAAGCACCATACCTAGGAGCTCCCCAACTGCGCACTATAAGTTATTTTTTTATTGATTTGCATAATAATATATATAAAATAAACGTATGCAAACACAAATGTAAAGTTCACTTTTTGTGACGAAGGTCCTGACTTCTGAAATTCTTATTTTTTTACAATGAAATTTCTTTTGTCACTTTTATCTTTCCTTGAGCAAATGTCCGTAGCAGAAGATCGCATCCAAAACGCTTCTTTTTGCTTTTGCACTCCTTTCAAAATCTGGATCATTAGCTACAATTTAATCAACAATTTCCGTTAGTTACCAAATTTTTACTAAGGAAATCCGTAGAGAAATTTTTTGGGTTCTTCATTTTCATAATCTCTATTTTTCAGTTATACGTGAATTCCATGTTCTGCCAGTTCTTGAAGATGGTCGTTGGTAAGGCTCTCACCAGAAACCTGCGGTAACTCCTCAATATCCTGCTCGTCTACATTAGTCCTGCTCGTCTACATTAGTCCTGCTCGTTGTATCGAATTAGGTTGACAAATTGTCCACCTAACGATACAGCGATAGGCTCTTCTCGTTGAGAATTCTTGAATACCTTCAGCCATAACTTCTTCCACACTTCGTCCATTTATTGGTTAATTCTTGCCTAGCGAAGCCGATATTGCCTATGGCATCCATGATGTTAAGCAGGGTCTTACTATATTATATTACTGTTCAATGCATGACAAATGAGCTTAATTCACATTAGACGTAGGAAGGACAAAAGACACTACTTACACTATCGCATTTATTCTGACAGTAGGGTAGCTTTACACAGGATTGCGAAGTCTGATAGCCGCTTAAAATTCGTCCATCTCAGACACTTACACAACATTAGAATCGATTTTCAATGGGTCCCGGGTCATGCGGAGGTTCTCGGCAACGAGACTGCTGACCATCTTGCCATACAAGCTGCAAAGTCATCAGTCACTAATACTTTCAGTTACATTTCTACCTCGTACATCACAATCACGTCAAGAAGCAAATCATTCTCTGGCAAGACAGCTGGGACCATGACACCACTGGTAGGCTCACTTACACTTTCATCCCCAAGGTTGACACTACTGCGATTCTTCGTCACTTTTACCCTAGTTACACCCTCGCTCAGCAACTTTAAGCAATAGAGAGGTTGCGGCCGACGTTTTCAACGCGAAAACGTGTACGTTGGACGTTCGGCGCCGCTTTTCCGTGAGTATAGAAGTTTGGCAATGGTGTTTGGAATGTCGAGCGTGATTCCACCGACTATCCAAATACCATTGTCAAACTTCTATGCTTACGGGAAAGCGGCGCCGAACGTCCGACGTACACGTTTTCGCGTTGAAAACGTCGGCCGCAACCTCTCTAATACTTGCATAGATTTAACCTCGGGGACAACCCACAATGCGATTGTATTCAGGAGGACCGAACACAACTTCACTTTGTTTTTCGCTGCAATAGGTACAATCACATTAGGGATAGTTTAATGAGAGCTGATATTCTTGAAGGGTACAATTGGCCTTGCAACCTGCACCAACTTATTCACACGCGTACAATGTTCCTTCATCTCTAATAGCATTCATATTCCTTGGTGCTCTTGAGATCACTAACTCCGGGGACACGGATGGCAATTAACTTTCCGTTGTTTTGTTTCAACTGTCGTTATATAGCTGCCTTTCAACTTGTGTATTTTAATTATTATTTTCTGTCTTCTTTTTTCAGTCTAAATTCAGTTAATCCTAGTTAGGGACTCAGCTTGATTTCCGGTTAGGTTAAATTAGATTAGGGTTTGGTAGCTTTAGTCGTCTGGTTAGGTTCATCCTAGGTTATGGTAGGTTAGTTTAGTTAGTAAGTTAACATTTAAATAAATAAATAAATTTTGGGAGTCGTTTGTCATTGTGTTTGTTTGCTTTTCGCGTTGTCTGTATAGCTGTTAAGTACTATTAAGATTTGCGATAAGTTTTATTAGTATTAAGTAGATATAAGTCTTCCTACTAACAGTCACTTGGCACACTTAGCTATTTGTGGTGGCACTCAATTATTGGTGTTCGCTACACTCAGGTTCTCTTTTAGACCCTTCGGGGACTACTGCCTTGCAGACAAAAAACTGCACGCCAATATCAAACATAGAGGGTACTGTAGCCATATGTACTCTGTTCAGAGGAATCCTACTTTTCCCTACTTTCTATCTCTTCTTCCCCTCCCCTTTCCATTACCCTCTTCTGCCAGCTAAACACTTCGTGTACGGCCGATGTCTTGTATGTATGTATGTATGCATTACTGTTCAGATTAACTGAAGATGAATTGTGGATATTTGTTTTGTATTGGCATGATTAGAAAGTCAGAGCATAAGTATTTTTATTTGCATTTTATGAAAAACTACTTAGGAATAAGAAAGATCTTCGTCTAACGTCTTGCGTTAGAGGAAGATCTTTCTTATTCCTAAGTCGCGGTGTCAGAACGCCATCTGGGCCATTCTGATGTTGAAGGAAGTGGATATATGCCACAGCAGGCAGGCCTTGGACGCTCCAGACAGACCATCAGTACTTATTTTAAAGTTAATTTAGAAAATTTAAAACAAATTATAGATGTTTAAATGTTGTATATAATACAAATTATTTTTTATTTTATTTTATTTTTTTTTTAACTCTCCGCCCTGTGGGCACTAAGAGGGCCTCTTGTTGCAAGATATAATACAAATTTGCTACGCGAAAAATATTCCAGTAACTTTCATAATGTTAAACGATTAATTAAATACGGACATTTATATTTACTGAATATATTTCAATTTATTAAATGCTAAACTGAAAGTTAGGAATTTATCGAAAATCGAACGACAATAAAATAAATGCTTTTTTAAAAACATTAAAATACTAAAACTCAGAATTAAAATAATTTATTCAATTTATAGTGAAGAGTCCCAATAATTTATTATTTATTTTAAAATTTTAATTTAATTATATTTAATCGTCGATAAGTTCTATTTATCTTCAATTGAAGAGTAAATTTTGTCACTCTCTTCTTAAATGGCAATTCACTAACAAGAAGTTCTTAGTGTCCACGGGGCAAAAAGAGTAAAAAAGTTTATCCTCCCAGGGGAAATGATGCACTATTGTGCGGGTGAAATCAAATAAATAGATAATAATAATCACTATAGATGTAAGCGCACATTAAAATTAATTAAAATTGACTCTATTTCCATGAAAGGAAAAACGTTGTCTAAATGTGTTATACTTTTTTTTAATACTCTCCGCCCTGTAGGCACTAAGAGGGCCTCTTATAGCAGGCCCATTATGAGTTCGGCCAGGCCCACAATGGGGCTGCCGTGGTGAGGGACGGGGCCCGACATATCCGAACGGACCGCCCCTGAAAAATTCCTGGGGATTTTTCGACCCGTTCGGATTCGAGCCCGGGTCCCCCAGGGAGGTAGGCTGCCATCTTTACCGCTCGGCCATCCGGCCGCGTTGAGAACGGTCTATAAAAGAGCACCCAATATCTATAGCGGGGGTGGCCAACAGTTTTTTACCCTGGGCCAAATTGGAAAGAAAATTTTTTTCACGGACCGAACCAGAGGCTGCCCTAGGAAGATTTTGAGGTGGTGCGAGATCTCATTGTGGTGTCACCCCGTAGAGACTAAATTGTACATAGAGATTACAGATACATTTTTCACATTATCATGTATAATCAACGTCCTACGCTGTGCTGAAGACATTTGTAATGGAGCGTTAACTCTAAACGCACAGTCAGTCAGTCACTCTAAACCCACAGTTAGTTGTTGACCTTTTTTGGGGGTTAGAATTTTTCACCGATGTATTCTGACTTGAGTAGCTAATGTTGAAAGATCAATCGCGGGCCACATAAATCTATTACACGGGCGACATCCGGCCCGCGAGCTGTATGTTGGCCATGCCTGATCTATAGCTTGCTACGGAACGATAAAGATAGCATAAAAAAGGAAGAGAAAGCTGGGGTATATAAAATTTCATTTAAAAATCAACAGTTAGAAATCAAAAAGATTATGTGGGTGTGACTAGAAGAAACCTGGCGGTATGTATGAGAGAACATAGATACAACGTTGACAAACGACACAACAACACAATATTAGCGATTACGGCGCAGACTGAAGAAGCGATTGTAAAATGGGAAGAGGTTAATTAAATAATGTAAAATATTTAAAAACGGTACATTCCATTTTGGAACATTTATAATATTAAACCTGACAATTGCCTATATTAAATAGGTTGAAAACGTTTGTAAAAATAAAAGAATTTTAAGCTCAGAAAAATTAGGTGTTGGTGAAACTGAAGTGAATTAGTTGCTAAGAGGTGGATAGATACAAAGTTATGTTTTAGCATTTCCTCTCCTTATAAGACATCTTTTTTGATCACCCACATATTCTAAAATGTCACAAAGTGTAATCATCATGACTTAAATGGCTACGAAATCAACTAGGATTAATATCGGACACAAATGCGGATAAAACGTTTTGACTACAGAGAGAAAAGATATTAAAAAAAGACAACACACATGTAACTCTTGTATGTTGCAACGTACGCCATACCCTTTGTGGCAGCCATTTTGATCAACTCATACGCCACCCATATTTACTGGCACAAGCGAATAGATATGGGGTAATGAAAAACTTAAGGACGTTGTATCGAGGAAAATTGGTAAATTACATACTGGAATCTATTGAAGAAAACCTAATGACAAGTTAATGAACAGCCAGAGAGATCAGTGCAAAAATTTCCATTTTGCAAGCCATACAGTTTGTCGCTGACAGTTGGCAAGCTATAAAAAGCGGCACAATACAAAACTGCTTTGCTGCTTGCGGTTTAAAACCTTTGAATGTTTTTGAAATTTTGAGCAGTGAGGAAAATGAAGGCATACTGCGAGTTCCTATCATTAATAATGAAGAGTTTTCAACAATAGATGACAATTTACCATATTTCGACGAAAATGAAAATTTCGAGGATGCAATTGTTGACGTCATCAAAATTCAAACGTCAAAAATTTGACAAAGAAAGCGATGGTGAGGACAATGACCCACCTGTGCTTGCGACAAATCGTGAGGCAAAAAAAAATTATAGTCGGGTACAGCGTTATTTTATGCAAGAAGGTAACGAAGAAAGCCCCACATCTGCACTGAATAGAGGCCGGATGGCCGAGCGGTCAAGGTGACAGCCTACCGCTCTGGGGGGACCAGGGATCGAATCCAGACGGGTCAAGGAATCCCCAGGAATTTTTCGGGGGTGGTCCGTTCGGATATGTCGGGCCCCGTCCCTCACCACCCGGTCGCCCATTGTGGGCCCGGCCGAACCCATAATGGGCCTGCTATAAGAGGCCCTTCTAGTGCCCACAGGGCGAAAAGAGTAAAAAAAATATTTGCACTGATTTTGTAGAACTGCAAAATTTTAGAAGTAAAAAACAGACTACACTTGATGCATTTTTGCGAAATTAAAATTTAAAATTGTAAAATTTATCATGAAAAGTAAGTGTTATTTTTTCTGCACAATTTATAGTACGAATATTTTCTGTATTTTGCTTTAATAAAGTCAATTATCATTTTTTTACTTACTTAGTTATTTATTTACGTATTATATATTTTATTTTAGAAATTATTATTAGTTTGTTTAATCTGGGCACCCGCTTAATTGGGCCAAAATGGATTAGTCCCAACGTGTTCCAATTAAGCGTAATCCACTGCATATATATTTTTTATTCAAATCTTTTCTAACTTGGGCTAATTTTTGGCTATTTTCAAACTACATTTGATAAATTTGTTTTCGAATGTTTTGATGTGCCCAAAGCCACGTGCTTTTCATAAAAGCTTGGTTTTGAGATTTGATGTTCATTTCTAAAAGCTGAAACTGTAATAATGGAATTTTTGGAAGAAGCTAGTCCGTATAAAGACAAAGAATTTTGTTATTTAGATGTGTTTTTGTATGCATCTTGACAGTAATCGATTTATAATTCATATTTCATATTGTACTGTATATAATAAGTTTTATGACATAATGATTAGATTCAGTTATAATAGGCCCATTTATGTGAATGGCCAACTTTACTCATATTCAGAGCTGCATTAAGCTTTTTATAGATCCTAGGCACTTTTTAACTTTTTTAAATATAACCTTTTTCTTTTATATTTTAAAATTATTTTTGGATTGCAAAACATTACAAGAATTATTCCTGCTAGAAAAGGAACAGAATTTAGTATCCAGCTTTCCTAATACGAATATTGCTGATAGAATATACTTTATATGCAAATCTTATGATTAAATTCTGATGGAGAATGATCTTTTTTTAACATCACATTAAGAATCATATAAGATCTAATTTGTTTCAAATAAAATTATCATATTTAACAGTACTTTCCGTAGAAAGTGAAATATTAAAACAGTTGCCAGTTGAGGAAATTATTAAAGATCTTGCATGCATAAATTGTAGAAAACTCTACATAAATAAACAGATTGGAGCAAAGTTTAATGTTTTATTTTAATTTTCATAACTTCTATTTCCTCAATTTTTAATTTCGTAGGTTGTAGGCACTGTGGCTAAAGTGCCTAATGGATAAGATAGCACTCCTCATATTACATAGTTGCTTTGATTTGTTTTTTATTTTTGGAGTTTAAATTTTTGAACCCTTAATTATAATAATGATATTCTAATTTGTTAAAATTACAAAGTGCAAATTTGTTAAAATTACGGGAGTGCAAAACTTAAGTAACAATGTAATTTTTAAGTAGACAGCCATGAAATTGTAGAAAAGGGCTTTTTGCAATCAGTACAATGAATACCCAATTCAGTAGAAAGGTGATTCGTATGCAATTATCAGGAAAAAGACATCACAGGTGATGTGAGGGCACAAAAAATGCATAGTCAGCATACATAGTGCAATACTACGATTAAAAGAAGGACAAAAGGTGCTATTAAAGATATTTGCTACAAGTTCAAGTGAGTTTATATGTGAAATATGACTAGAAGAAACCATCTGGATGACTTTACACATGGTAGAATCATCGGCAAGCATATTGTGACGAGTGTAGCCCAAGAGTTTGGAATCAACAAAAGCATTATTTCATGAGCTTTCAGAGCCTTCCAAACCACAGATACAGCTGTAAGAAAGGTTGGTGGTGGTTGTCAAGAAAAACAATGCTAATGGATGATTGATATGTCCTGCAGGCGAAAAGAGATCAATACCAGTTACCAGGTGACATTGCTCAGTAGCTGCATATGGCAATGGGACAAAAAGTGTCACCATTTAATGTGGCCAGATGCCTTCATAAAGATGGCCTATTCACCTGCTGTCCTGAATGCTGCATCCCAGTGACAACTGTCCATCGGCAGCACCTTTAGATTGGTGTAAGGAACACAAAGACTGAACATCTTATCAATGGAGTCAAGTCTTCTTTAAAGATGAGAGTCATTTCAGAATCACAAGCAATTCTCAATGCTAGTTGATATGGAGAGAGGTAGGAATACATTTTTATTCCACTAACATCATGGAAAGAGACCATTATGGTGGTCCTGGTGTGCTCATTTGGGGAGGCATTACTATGAATGGGTGAACTGAGTTCTAAATTTTCAATGGAAGTACTGTTACCAGAGATTGCTATTGTCAGCAAGTGATCCTTCCATCATGTGCATTTGTTCCAAGGTGTCATTGTTGTAGACTTTGTTTTTATGGATGATAAATCCAGTACACATCAGACTTGTGCTGTTGAAAAGCTTCTAGAAAGTGCAGATATCACTAGAATGGATTGGCTAGTGTACTCCCCTGATTTAAATCCCATAGAACATGTGTGGGATGCTTTGGGGAGACACCTTTTGGCGTGATTATATCTGCTGGAGAACACCCAACAACTGAAAAAGATGCTCATTGAGCAATAATCACTCTTACCTCAACAACTGTTTGATAATCTGATTTTGAGTACGGAGAGACAGTGCCAAGCAATCATTGCAGTTAAGGGAGATCATATCCCTCACTAAGGGACATCTGTTTGTTGTTCCCCCTCTTGGGCTGACAATCATTTGTACCAATGCTACTCTTTCAATTAAGCCTTTTTTTGTTTGATTCCATATTGTATGCATTTTATTCATTTTTGTGCTACTATGCTTTCTTCATCCTTAGTACAAAGTACAAAATACTCTCTCTGTATTCTGAATTTCATGTCCTCCAGGTGATTTCTTACGGAGTTATGGCAAAAAAGAAAATTTGTTGCTTAAGTTTTGCACACCAGTGTAAATAAGATAACTGATTTTTGTAATAAAAATTTACACGTAGAATATAAGAAAAAATTATATTCATAAATTCAACTAAAATAAAAAATACAGGTAACTTCAACATCATTTAATTCATTTTAGTCTTTTGATTTGTTGAGTTAAAAAGACATTTATAAAATTGATTGCTATTTGCATGAACAGTGTGTTGTTTGTTTTACTGCATGTAATTTAATTTATACTTTAATGGAATATAATTTCAAAACATGCAAAATAAAACCAAACAAATTGCAACTATATTATATCTAGTCATTGTAAAATGTTTCTTTTTTTAAAAAAGATTAAAATAAATAAATCTTTTATGGTTTCTAAATATATATTAGTAATGACTGAAAATCTTAATAATTTGTAATTTTTTGTTTTTTGAAATGATTGAAAACCATTAATTTGTTAATTGTTCAGTACCTAGTGTAAAGGATTTTTGTCTAATGAAGCTCTTTTTTAATGAATACATTAGTTTGAAATAAAATCTATTTTAATTTTTAGTTTTGCTAATAATAATAAATTTTTAATTTATAAAATATATTTTATTTCAGAGAATTTGATAGAAATTATGAAAATGAAATAGATGAAAATCATTTCAAATGTATTGTGGTTCAGGCTTTACAACAGATGTTTGGCATAGTAAGAACAGCTTATTAAATATAAACATTAATCATATATTATGATAATTATAATTACAATTTTAGAATGCAATATCAATTAACACTTTATAAAATTAACATACAGTGAATATCTGTTAACTCAGCATTGTCAAGACTGACTTGACAATGCTGAGTTAACAGATGGAAATGATGGAAATTTTTCAGTTTTTTTATTCCCCAGACACAGTTTTACATATCTTCACATGTAAAACTGTACAACTATATTATATTTTCTATGATTATTTAACATGCAATTTCAGTTTGTTCAGGCTATTTCTAACCTTTGTTGGCTTGAAACAAGAACACTTCTTATTTTGTGCTTTGTGCATTATGTATAAATACAAATGAACTCTAAATTATTAAATTACATTAACAATATTGTACTATAGCTGTGTTCCACGATTGTTATTGATTCCAAATATATATATATATATATATATATATATATATAAAAATGGACATGTATGTCCCTATATCTCACTTTTTTGCCAAAACTACNCAATAGCAAGTTAGTCTGAAAATTTATAAAATGGGCTAGAAACGGAGGACCTAATTCTTGCATTCTGTGAAAACGGGTAAGATTGGCTATAATGTAATTATCTTAATTTTCACTATCGTTACTTTTTGCCCAGCGAAGCGGGTCCTTGCAGCTAGATTCTAGATTACTTAGAAAAACAGTCTTTTATATAGGCCTATATAAAAAAACTATATTACATACAAATAAAAACCCAGCGAAGCGGGTCCTTGCAGCTAGATTCTAGATTACTTAGAAAAACAGTCTTTTATATATATAAAAAAACTATATTACATACAAATAAAAACCCAGCGAAGCGGGTCCTTGCAGCTACTCCTAAATATTTCTCTTCTGATATCAAACCCATGCACTAATGTCTTTGGAAAAGTCTTTAGAAAAATCATGCATGAGCTAACTACTTTGACTTAGCATCATCATGTCAACTTGGTTTTCATCTGTGTACAGTACATGATGTTTATATTGGAAGTTGTCAATGGTAATAGTAAAGACCAATGTGCCAATAATTCCCAACAACATGGTGGATATGCCAGCTTATTGATTTGCCAGGTTAATGGAATGTCACTGTATAATAAAAATTAAAAATTTAATAGGACTATATTATGTGTTTTATAAATGCACTATATTTAGATTATTGACTGTATTTTGTATTCATAACATTATTTCTTTATTTTTATATAAAACGATTTTATAAAAAAAAAGAAATTATATTTACATAAAATGTAATTTTTTAAGACATTTTTAAAGTAGATGGAGTAAGTTAAACTTTCATAAAATAGTGTTTTAATTTAAAAAGTTTTATTTAATTTAAATTTGTAATTAATTTTTAGGATAAAGTTAGCATCTTAAAAAATTTTTAAATTTCATTTAACAGGTAGGATCAGCTATAGACATTGATGTCTTAAAGTATAGAGAAGAGGATAGAAGAGCATTTCTTCGATGCCCTGGAAAGTAAATATTAAATATATATATATATACAGTGGAACCTCAGTATACGACCTTAATCCGTTCCCGATGTTTGGACTTATACCAAATTGGACGTATACCAAACCAACCTTTCCCATAAGAAGTAATGTAAAAATGATTAATCCGTTCTCGTGTAAAAAAAATGGCTGGCTTTAAACACCTCGCTTTCCTGGCTAGTTCCTGCTTGATTTTTCGTGAGATCAGCGTGTATCTTTTTAGCTTTCTCGCAAATAATTGCTTCCGATACGCTGTCTCCAGCACTGTTTTTCAGTTATCCAAAGCAAAAGCAATTTCTCGACATGATCTAATGTCTTCGATCTCTGTTTAGAAATTGATTTAACCCCTTTCGCAACGTTAGCAGATTTAATAATGTCTTTATTTTTCGCGATTGTCCATATCGTCGTTCTCGGAATACGGTAAACAACAGTTAAAATCTCGAACACGCGTGCCACCTTCGTATTTCTCAACAATCTCTTTTATCAGTTCCATTGTAATTCTAGTCATTTTTTTAGTTTTCTGTCGCTTTTCATTTGTCTTTTTGTGATTTGTGATTAATAAAAATAATAAAATTTTACTTACGAATTAAAATCAGAAGAAATTTAACAAAGTTATAAACTGTGGCACTGCGAACGTCTAGTCTGGTCTAGTACACTGATAGTGCCACTTGTTCATTGATGGCATGTATAATTGAATTATGTCATATACTGAACAAAAGTCGTATACCGAGCAAAATTTGTTTCGTCCAAACAGGACGTATTCCGAATTGGACATATTCTAAAGCAGACGTATACTGAGGTACCACTGTATATATATATTTTTTTTTTCATTAAAAACCATTTTAATTATAAAATTATTTTTGATTAGAAAAATTATTGTTATAATTTCTTGGAGTTTTATTTATTATTGATAAATAAGTTTGAATTTTATATATAACAAATCCTCATTTAATGTCATCAGTGGGTTCTTGGAAACTGGGATGTTAAGCAAAAAGATGTATAACTAAACCAATCTTACCACATGCTAAATGATATAAACAAGATATAATTTGGTTAATATTCTAATTGGATCATATTTGCAACCTTCAGCATTTATTTTCCATCTCAAAGAATCAAATTTACTGTTTATAAAGAAAATTCAGCAGCAATAATTGTAAATTGCAAATGTACCTTTGTATCTTTCCTCAACAACATTAAGTTAGGACTAGCTATTTTACTTTCAATAATTTTGTACAAAATGCATGTAATGTCTTTTCAAAATTAGGTCAATAAAATAATTTTAAAGTAATAATTCAATTAATTGTAATTATTTTAGTTAAATCATGAAATTATTAATTTTATTTCATTGATATTTTTAAAATATTTAATTCAATTTGTTTCGAAATTGCAATTCTAACTTGTACTCAATATTTTCAAGTTCCATTAAGAAAGAATATCATTAACATAATTATATAGCATAAATATTATATTATGGGTCTGTAGTGGTCAAACTACAGCTCTTCTAGTTCTCTATTGTAACTCCCGTGTAACTCCCATTTATACAGTTTATTTTTATAAACTTGGTACATACTATTTACATATATGTAATATTTTTGTAAAAGAGTTAAACAATGGTTTTAAAATACAGATGTGTTATGTACTGTACAGAAACTCCAATCTATAAAAGAGTTTATGATATTTGAACACTGATGAAGAATTGGACAGAGTTTGATAACAGGATGGTGATTAAATGCTGTTGACTTTTTCTTTTTTGCAGATTTCATTTTTGTCTTAATTCTACTTCACTATTTCTAATTACCGTATTTTGACGAATATAAGTTGCTGTCAAGTATAAGACGCACCCCTATTTTGAGACAAAAAAATTTAGAAAAAATTGTTTTAATGGGATTGTCCAAAGATGCATTTTATTCGTTTTTTTATTTGAGAATATGGCGGATGGGTGAATCGATAACTTTATTAAACTGAAATAATCGTCATTTCTTAATGTAAACTCAGAGGTCACGTGATGACAGTTGACAGAACATGGCGGCGATGACTCGTGTGTCACTACTCTGATAATCTAGATACTCTAGCCATTCGGTTGAGGGACCATCCGCTTAACGGACCACTGCACAGGTTGGTCCCTGGAGTGGATCACTATTGTAGGTAATTTCACTGTAAAAATGGTTACCTGTCGAGTATAAGACGCACCATGATTTTGAGCCCTGAAAAGTAGTAAAAAAAGTGCGACTTATACTTGTCAAAATACGGTATATGTTCTGGTTAAAAAAAATCAAAGAAATGAAGACAAAGGAAAAACAAGATTAGAAAACAGAGAATTGTTTTAAAAAATGAAAAAGAAATCTTAGCTTAAAAATTAAATTCAATAAAATGTAATTTTTGCATAAAAAATCTACTACTAGAAATAAAGGAGTATCCTGTGTTAACATATCAATTTAAATTTAACCTACTTTCTGGAAGAATTTAGACTAAATTTTAATTTAGAAAGTTTCTAGGGATGTTTAAATCAGGGCTGCAGAGTCAGAAACACTGGACTCCGACTCCGGATAATTTTAGTAGGCCAACTCTGACTCCTGACTCAGGCAAAATTAAATTATGTGGGGGTAGAAACACTCATAGGGAGGTACCCTACTCTGAACAGAGCCCAGGCATATATCCAAATACTTTTATAGTTAGTATTTTTAATATTTAACTTACATTAATATTTATTTTTATAAAAAAATTAATTTTTAACAAATATTTAATAAGAAGAGAAAGGGGGCAATAAAATTCTACATTACATATCTTTATTCTACAGCATATGCACCTCAATTTCACTCTTGCAGAAAAGTTAGTCCAACTAAAAAGTGTGCGATCTAGTTACTTCAGCCCCTTGTTCAGAAAAAAAAAAAAATACATACTTTGATCAATTAGTCTGGCTCATTCAAAAAAATAGATTACTTATTTAGAGCAGAGTTAATAAAAGAATGATTCAAAAATATTCAAGTTCAATTGGGTCAAAATAATTTAATCACTAAACACAAATACTACAACAAAAACTACATATTTAATAAATTAAACTGCTGCATTTTGTATTTAAAATAAATGAATTATAACAAAATACAAAACATTTTAAAAAATTAATAAGAAAATTTATTTTAAATAATATTTAAATAAAAAAAAACTAAATTACATTTATAATTTTGAATTTTATAAAATGGTTTTAAGAAACAAAATCACTTCAATTAAATCCTCCTTCATAGATGCCCTTAAATCAGCTTTAATTATTTTCACTGACTTGTGTTGGGGGCATTGCTGTGACATATCTAGCTTCCATAGCCCTGGTTTAAATATATTATAAAATATAAATCAGCAAAGTTTTAGATAATTTATCTATTGTAAATTTTTTAAGAAAAAAAAGGAAAACCTGAGCAAAATCAGTTTATTTCAATGTAATTAAAAAGATTGATTGAAGTTTAATGAGCACAGGCTTTGGCACCAACTTTGCCCATAGACTTAACATTGTGAACTTTGTATATCTCCAGTCACAGATCAAATTTTAAAATGTCCAGACTGAGATGGATTCTGTTTTTATGCAAAATATGATTTAAATTGGTTATGCAGTTTCAGAAGAGTTAACTGTTGCATAAAGATCAAAGTCATCACTAAGAGAACTCTGCTTAATAATCTGACCTATATGAAAAGTCAATCAGATTACAGTTAACAAATTCACAGTAAAGCACCTTTTCTCTTTTTAGTAATATTTTAGAGAGATGTAAATAATGAAGGTGTTTTGGTATGACTTTAATTGATATCTTGTACTAGTTTAGTTTACAAGTTATATATTATTGTTATAAATATACTGTAGTTTTAATAGATGTTAAGCTTGTATGCTATTACTTGTAAAAATGTATTAAAATTTATATAGATAAGAGAAGTCAGCAACATGGATTTGTAGCTATAAGACCAAGCTTAATTTGATGGAGCATCTAACCTTGGCTAGCTAGGATTAGATAATTTTTTTTGGCTGGCCCTTGAAGCAAATGGGCACATCTGTATCTGGATGAGAATAGAGAGGTTGTGGCCAACGTTTTCATCGCAAAAATGTGTATGTCGAATGTTCAGCACTGCCTTCCTGCAAGCCTAGAAGTTTGACAATGGCATTTGATACATTGAGCATGATTCCACTGACATTCCAAATGCCATTGTCAAACTTCTAGGCTTACAGGAAGACAGCGCTGAACGTCCGACGTACACGTTTTTGTGATGAAAACATCAGCCACAACCGTTCTAATATTGCTCTTCAAAATGTTTGATTGAACATGTATTAGAATTGGGCCTTCCCATGAAATATCTTTATAGATAATTCAGAATTGGCACAGAGAGCAAAATTTAATTACTTAAAACAAAGCATAGTAATAGATGGTATCAATGTAATATGACTTCTATTTAATATTTAATATTAAAGTGAATGAAATTTTTAATTATTTTCTTTAATTTTAGTTGAAAAATTTTCAAATTTTTTTATGACTACAGTGTGTGCAGTTTAAATATTCTATTAATTCGTAATGTTGATTAACATATTACACAATGTTACTACAATTTTTTAAAAAAAGTTTAATTATTAAATATTAATTTTGTTTTATTATATTTATTCATATAATTTATTTTAAAGGAAAGTTGAAAAAGTCCGTATTGCACTAACTATATTTTCATCATATGAAAATGTTAATTGTTGTTTCAGGATAAATAAGGTAAATAAATAGTTATATATTTTTCAGTTTATAAATAGTTGTGATGCTTGAAATTTTAAAAAGTTAAATAATATCTTTATTTATTTATGTTTAGTTTATTAGAATGTGCAAACTATATAATCCTCAAAAATTTATAAGATATTTTTTCCATAAAACTAGTAAAAAGCTTTGTTTCATATTGTTACATAATTTTATACTAGTATCATTTCAATTCTTATTTATCTTCTTTTTTATCTAATCTATCTTCTTCTTATTTACTTCTAAGTTGACTTAGGTTTTGCAAACTTATTGACTCCAATCCTTAAATTTATGTTGTTTCAGAAATATATTGGAAGAGTTTCTAGGGGCCAGGAATAATTTATTACTTGATCATATGTTTGGGAAAGTTGTTTTGGGAAGAATGAAGTGATTTGAAGATGATAAGAAGATTGCGTTCTGAAAATATTAATCATACAAACAACTTCTGGCTCCATAAAACTCTTCCAGCATTTTTCTGCATTCCAGCATTCAAATAATTTATTGTTAATACAAATACCAAAAATTAATATTGTGAAAAATATATATACATATACATACATACAGGTATCCCTCTTACAACATGGCATTCCTGCAAAATGGTTTTGCTCTAATACAGTTCAAAAGTTGGAGACATCCCTGTAGAAAATGCACAGTTTTTATGTACAATCATAGTCATTCAATACTTTTTTATTCAAGCAAGCTTGTATGTTGTCTCATATTTGTCCATGGATTTTAGCTTATTGAAATATTCAATGTTGTTTTGTGCCTTTCATCTGGTTTTCTTTAATGAGAATTGATTGTACAATTTTTCTTCTTCCTTGTCTTAGATTCTTATTTTAGGTTTCTTATAAACCAGGCATTGCTATTGTCACTGATAGTGCTGTAAATGAACCTGAAAGACTGACTATCACTGTGTTTTGTTTTTATAGATTAAATTAAAAGTTACTATATGAAAATATTACATTTTTAAATCTCTTAAACAAATGCAAGCAAATGAAAATATCAGATTTATGAAAAAAGTACAGAAACAGCAATATGTTGCTGATACTTCAGATTAAGGTCAACAGGAAAGCTCAGAAAATGATGATATTTTGCAAAAAGAAAATGATCTTATTTAACAGTGTTTATCAGTGAAGAATAAATTAATATTAACATGCAATACTTTTGATTTTTGATTGCTGTAGGAATCCATCTTGTTACCATATGAATGACGGACCTTGTAGGTTTGTCATTCCACAAAAACCACATGAATAAAATAAAACAATAATGTTTAATCAACTTATGGTACAGTACCTTCACTGTAGGAGCTCAATCCTATTCCACAAACTGGAGTCTTACTCTTCTCCTGTCTTCATCAACAAAACTATCCAGTTCCTGCTCAACTGTTCCCCCCCTTTTTTTCTGTCTCTTTCTTTTTTTTTTCTTTTAAACTATCTCCTCCAATTGGTTGAACTCATTGTTCCAAGTCACAAATCAGAGGACTGAATTCTGATATCACTACAATTGCTTTAATAAACATATTTCACTTAATTACAAAAAGAATATATACTTTTGCTAACTTTTTAACCTAACCATATGTTTTATACAAATCCTTTGTTTTGTATATTACATGGATTTGCATAATACAGCACTTTTTCAGAACCTAATTACTGTGTTATATAGGGAATATCTGACTGTATATGTATAATATTAAAAGGTCTGATCAATTATACATATGAAGTTTAGTGCATTCCAGAAAATTACTACACGAATTGGGGAATTTCATTTTAATGGTAAATGTTTAAGAGTGGTTTAATGAAATATCAGATACCACTTTGTAAAGCATGAAAATTAGGAAATATACAGCATACAATGGAAAAATAATGAAAATATATTTGGAAAAGGATTTTGTCATTTAAAATCCTTTTTTAGCTTAGCTTAATATTGGGTTGTTTGGAAAGTAAGTTTGTTTTTTTTTACCACTAGATGGATTAGTTGTATTTTTCCCACCATTTTCATTCTAAACCATATTATCATTATATATTTTGACAGCTAGCATTTTAAGGCTTATTTGAAAGTAAAAATGTTTATATTAATTTAATAACAAGGATTTTGCATCTTTTACATTTATATCATTCAACTAGAGCAAAACTCTAGTTTATAAAATAGTTGATTAAGACTATAGAAACCTTTCCTAATTAAACTAAATTTTAATAATTTATATTGTTGCAGGTGACTCCAGATTTAACATCTTTAAGTAAAAATACTTAAATTTAACTTTTTTGTATCATCATCATTTAAAATAAATACTATAATTGTACAATGTTATTAAATAAAATATATATATTAAGAATAAGTGTGTTCATTTGGCAGGATTAGATGTGTCCTCATGTGAAGGCAGGTTGGGGTGCATGTTGTCACATTTTCAAAATTGCTGACCCAGACATTTTAAAATAAGGATGTTATACTTAGAAATAAAAAATTAGGTTTTTTTTTTTATTCTGAGTAGATAATAAATATATATTTTTTTTTATTAGAAGGTAAGCATGTACAGTACAGTCGACCCCCTATAACTGTTGATAATTCCGTTTTATATGAATTCCATGTTGTATGAGTACCTTAGATTTTACAAATATGTGTGCTGGGCTATGAACGGCTCACATATTTGTAAAATCTAAGTAACTCGTACAACATGGATTCATATAAAACTGAATTATCAACAGTGATATAGGGGAGTCAACTGTACATAATATATTATTAAAGTAATACAGTAATCACATGTGGCATATCCAAAAATAATTAATAATAGTTTGATGTAGATATTAATTGCAAAAATAATATATAAAAGTAAAAACAATAAATAATAACACATACCAACATTAATAATATTAAGTTACAAAAGATACATTGTGCCTAATACAATATATCAATAATATAAATACAAGGCATGCCCAATGTCATTTTACAGCAAGAACTGACAAATTCGCATGCCAGTTAAGGGATTGTGTTGGAACAAACCTAATATTTGCAATTTTAAAAGTACATTTTCTGTCACTCTTAGCCTAAGGATAAGATGGGGATAAGTTTTGGTGGGGTGTGAAGTTAGTCTTTAACTGTTAAAATAAAATACTCGCAAATATTTTTATAAATTTATTTTGTTTAATCATAATTTCACAATTTATACGAAAACCGGACAAATTAATAATTAATCTGGACCACGAATTTAAAAACCGGTCTGGTGGCAACATTATTGGGATGCATGGCACCTAACTAATGAGTAAAAAAAAATTAGCAACGAGTTGCATTCTTTCCCGGTTGTTACGAAATTTTATTTTAAAAATAATATTTATATTATTATTAATCATACTAAATTTGTGTATGACGCCATCTGTTATGAGGTTATATTATAAAAAACTTTTTATATTATTATAAATTGGCAAAAAGCTTAACTCTGAAGATAGTAATGAGTTTTATAAAGAAGAAAATTGTAAATGCTAATAACGAGTAAAATCATTAAGTTCGACCTCTCTCAAGATTTGACACATGATACCTCTCTATCTCACCACCCCTCGACCTTTAATCAGCAAAATTTAATAGTATCGATGCCCCTTCTACACAAGCTACCATGCCAAATTTCGTTTCTTCATTATTACCCCATCTTGCGATATTAAGCAAAATAGACGCTAGCATATACACACAGATGGAATTTTTACCCCTTTTTTGGGTTCTGGTGTTTCAAAACGTGGAGATTTGCAAAAACCTCGGGTGGGGGATCAAATTTGACACGATTCCACTACTTTCCTTGTCATGCACACAACAGCCGGGCAAATTAAACTAGAATCGTCGGATTATTACCCAATATAAATTAAATTCAATTCGAATATTCTCGTTTTATCATCAAAAAGACTTCGCATATTTATAATAAACTGGAAAAATGAAAACAAATAAATTTGGAAAGTATTTTAATAATAATCTTGATTCGTTTTTCAAAAATTTTAAGCCAGTTTTATTTTCCTATCCATGAAGTAATTATTGTAATTACAAATTTAATTATTACTTTTAAATTGTCTATTCGTATCGTAAAGCCAGTTCGTTGCCCTTGTTTATGACGAATCTGATTTCACATTTATAATTTCTTCGTTAATGATTTTATAAATCTTTGTAATACGTAATAAAATAATAATGGTATTTTTAACGTATTACTTATCTGTTTCCGTTCAAAGAACTCCCGACCGATGTTTTATGGAATACATACAATGTGGGCACAATTCACACTAAGTTACTTAAATATTTGCTTTTGTGATAATTTCAATTACATTGATTAGAAAAGAATATTTGTGTTTCATTTAAATAAATAGTTTTACTTGATAAATATAGGTATTCGCATTTTTCGTCCTTGTGTTTTTAAACACGAGGGCGAGCATCTGGGTTTCAATCATTCTTGTATATTGTCAACAGTAAAAATGAATAGCAATAGAAAAAGAAAGCTTTATGTTGCATTCCAAATTGCAATTTCAAAGCCATACGGGAGCCCAATATAAGTTTTCGTCTATTCTTACATGAAAAACAGATGATTATTCGGAAATCAGAATGCGGAGCTCATAAGTATAACCGACAGAAAGACTATTAATTAAGAATTTGCAAAAAGTTTCCCGATTGTTCAGCTTTATATGAACAAGTTATGCTGTCAATTTTAAAAGATTTTTTCCTTAATGTTTAAAATGCCAGTAATTTTGTGTGGGATACAGGATCGGATTTAAGCATTTCGAGACCCTAAGCTGAACGCTGTGTCAGGCCCGTTACCAACCCATCACATCTTTAGAAGTCAATCATAAGAAGAAAAGAATTAACATAAACATATTATCTGCTATTTATTTTGTGTAGTATTTAAAGTATGTTTTGTTGGTTCATAAAAAAAATTATTAGAGAATTTGACTTCAATTTTCTTTTTTGTAGAAATTTTTCAGGCCCCTTGAAACTCGAGACCCTAAGCAAAAAGGTAACATAGATTGCTTGTAAATACGGCCCTGATGGGATAGAAAAATACTGCGAAGATTGCAGCATAGTTTACTATTAAATATTCAGGATGGTCAACAATCACAAAGATCGTAAGACGTCCAATTCATTGCGGAGTTACTTTCAATCGAAGTCAAAAAATCGAAATCTTGTTCATGTATTAATGATACTAGTCTTGAATTGAAACACTAAAGAGGACACGGATCTCGGTGCAAAAATTTCTTATTGAGCCTTACAAATATCATAATTTCATTAAATTTATTAATCAAACTGGTCCTTCAAAGTCCGGAGCTTGAAGCACTTCACATAGCTATATAATTACTGCTCTATGATTTTTGACTTGTACAAACTTCTGGGTTACAGTTGATGTTACTTTTTGCAAATTTTAAAATTTGCAAAAAATTTCACATTACATAAATCTCAATAATTCACAAATCTGAATTCATCTTGCGACGTACTGTACTTAAAATGGATTCGCGACATACGGGTTGAAAATGACTGATAAAGCAAGCGAAAAATCAAAGCTGAAATTCGTTTCATTAAAACATCGCGTGCTTAATAATAATTATTTTATTTCTGTTCTTAGTTAATTTCTTATGCAATTTTTGACGGGTGAAAATTATAGTCTATGGAATCTTATTTTCTATTTAAAAGCATTTTCCTGCTCTGTGTCGTTGTAATTATAATATGCATTTTGGGCTTTTGTTGGATTTAATGAGCTTAAATTCTAAAAAAAGTCATACTACAAAATACCTTTGATTTTCATTAAAAAATTAAAGCTTTACTGCATTTTCAAAGATAAGACAATTTTCTTCTTTAAGATAATTTTTTTTATTATTAAATCAACTCTATTTGAAGAAAACATTCAAATAAGATAGTAAAAATAATATACAAAATTTTGTAATTTATTAAATACGCTATTCATTAGTTCATTTTTTCTTATCGCTGAAAACTGTAAATATCAGTTACTAGAATAATTTATATGAAAATATTTTCTATGTGTACTTCTTTGACCTTTTGAACTATTAATCAACAAAAATAATACATTTCACGAGTTTAAATGACATATTATTCCCCCCAAAGTTCTTTTTTGTTTTTTTTTTAAATTCCAATTTTAACTTCGAATATTTTAATTTACTATTTATCAACTAGCAATTATTTATTGTGAACACTGTCATAATGCCGGGCTCCAATTTTTTTAAATCATTTTTTAAGATGTAAAATTTATTTAAAATGTATGCCTTCCACCCCAAATTAGAATTGTATGCCCATAATACTTTTCCTGTTAGCAACAGTCATGTCGGTCATCTAACTCCTTTCAGGGGAAAATGTTTGAATTGAAATAACATGACTTGGTTTGCATCGAAGTTTGTATATAGTTAATCGGGGCATCCTGCCCCTAAGCTTTCTACATCTGGTCTCGACTTTATCTAACTCCGTTCTCGAAATTAACTAAAGACAGACAGACATGCGGATGACAGTGGGAATTTATAGGTCTACAATTTTTTCAAATTGTAGCCCAATGACATTTCCAGTATTTTATATCTTCCTCGTAAGGCAAAATACAGCTGTGCTACTATCCAAAACAAAAGTATACATCGTAAAAACACGTAAACAGATAATAAAAATATCTTCTTTACTCGCCATGTTCAATCATCAGGAACAAACTATTCTCCATAGCAGAGACGACCTTTCTTTAGAGGCTACGCCTCTGCTAAATTATGTAAAACAGTCTAAAATATCCACAGGTGACAATCCCCTTCACAATTAAAAATATAATTATTCTTTGTACCAAATGATGTTTACATTTACAAAAAGTAAACATCATTTTGACGTATTTTTTCAAAACATTTTCCTATACTTTCATTTCTGCAATTTCAGAATGTGAAATTATTTTTTCTCAGAAATTTTGTTTTACGTAAATCCATCAGCTTCAAGGCGTGTTCTAATTTCATCAACCTATTACGGTATTGCATAAATGAAACAATTCTGAGTGATATAACCAGTCATTACGAAATTCTGAGAATGTATATTTTCATTTTTGACTCCTTTCGCTCTGTGGACAATAAGAGGGCCTTTTTAATCGTATCCACCGTCAGTGCGGCCATGCTTACACTGGTGGCTAGGTCCGAAATTTCTGAGTTGCTGTCTGGATTCGATCCGTGGTCCTCAGAGTGATACGATACCATATCCACCTCGGTCATCCGACCGTCTCTGAAAATGTATTACTTTTTATAATTGTAAGAAACATAGTAAACATGTGTTTTAGGCCTAATCTGCAGATAAATTGATAAATGCGTGTACATAACTTGCAGGCAAACTTTGAAACATTGACACACATTAATAATTGATTCAGAAGTTTGATACAATATTT